AGGGTTATAAAGGGCTATCCTAGACCTCAGAGTATCAGAGAGCAAAAAGAAACTTTATTAGTTGCTTTCCCATCACTCAGGCACAATACCCAACACTCTCTACTTAAAGGAGGGGAGGTTTATTCTGGCTCACAGCTTCAATCTCTGGTCTGCTAGCACCAAGGCAGAAACAGGAGGGTGGAGGACCGTGGTGCAGGAAAAGGTGGTAAAGCCAAGTCATTCAGAAAGAAAAGAGAGAAGAGAGGAGGCAAGAGTATTCCCTTCCGGGTCGTGTCCCCAATGACCCACCTCCACACAGATCCTACTTCCTAACAGAAGGTGGGTCTGTGAGCTCCTCAGCGAATGAGGCACTGTTAAGTACAGCACCGCCACAGCCCAGGACTTTCCACACACATGAGGACTTCGGGGAACAGTTAGACCTGAACCACAGCAGTAACCTTCAAAGGTAAGAGCAGCCAAGCAGAACTACATCCCAATGTGTACGTTCGGATCTTCCAACCATAGACTTCTGGGATTTCAATCCCTTTATCTCCGGTATCAAATAGTGTTACAAATGACAAGATGAATGTTGAGTTAAATCCTTCAGGGCATAGGCTCATTTATAGCTAAAGAATAATAGAAAGGGGAATCTGCAGAAGTGATAGGATTCCAATCTCTTCCTCTGCTTTGAGAAGCCTTCTTCTTTGCTTGACTTGCCCAGTCCCTGCAGCATTGCTTGCTTTCCAGAATTTCCCCCTTTACTTGGTATTCTTTTTGCTTAATCACTCATTAGAGAATTTGTCCCATGTTGTGAATCTCCTGCTTTCCTGATGTTGCTTCTTGACTTGCAGTTGTTTTGGTTGGTGAGAAAACTGGTCCACTGTCTTTTGCTGTTGCATGTGCACAACTGCACACTATGCTTAAACTGGAAAAGGCTTTAACTGTAGGAATGCATTCGGGGCTTCAAATTAGTCCAATTACTTTGCTCCTAAAGAGGTGTCAAAATGGAGCTCCACAGAAATGAAATGATTGACCCATGGTCACAACATGTGATCACAATAAAAATGTTTTACCAGTGTCATTCATAGGTCACCCTAATGTAGGATGTAGAGGGACTTGGGGACTGAAGAGAATGTGGAGATTAATATCAACACATATTAAATCCTGAAGTTTAATTAAAACAGACAACTAGCACAGATATGAACAGGGTTAGTGAGAAGAATATTCACTCCAAGAACTCTGAGAATTTGTCTACTAAAACAAATATTAGCACTAAAAGTTTTTCAAAGTGAAATATTGCTAATTAATATAAATTTTAAAAAATAGAGAGATAATAATGATACACTTATCAGACTAAAAGAGGGAAAACTTAGTGATCTGTCTTCTCTTGTTCATAGAGGAAATCCTGAGTCTAAGCCAGAACCATTTTATTCACTGGGGCTATAATGAGCAGGTATTCATCATTCACCTTCTCAGTAAGAAGGCTTTAATGAAATATCCATCCTGATTTCCTACAACGCTGTTTTCTGCTTCCAAACACATAAACTTACATTTTGGTCTCTCAGCCTGTCCTTTTAGTGTCAAAATGCCAATGAAAGAAAAGTCTTCATTAGAAAGTGGATGCATTCAGTTCTTCTACATTTCTGTGAAAAGCATATTATACATTGTATGCAAGAAGACTTTCAAGATATTATATTAATCTTTGGCATTTAATAATGACATGAGTGTCACAAAATGCCTAGCAGTAAAAATACTGTTTTTTTATTATTATGTTATATTTAAAATCAAAGATCTCAAACTGTGGCTAATTCTTTTTTTTTTTTTTTTTTTTTTTTTTTTTTTTTT